GGGTTGGTGGCCAATTGGTCTCAGTCGAACTGGGGTTTTTTGCACCTAAAGTGGCTTGTGCTGTGGTCTAATTCAAGAAGGATATTGCTTGTGTGAATAGTTGCTTTGCCTAAGTTTGATTGTATTCCCGAAGTGGTCACTTTGTCATTGGTTTTGAAAAGGTGAGATTTTAATCTTTTCTTGTGTTTCTTTACATCCCTATGCAGATACATACAGTTGCTGTTGGAGCCGCTATAGGCCAGGCATGCCTCTTACTTGCTGCTGGAAGCAAGGGCAAAAGGTTTATGATGCCACATGCAAAAGGTATGTCATAATTGACTACATCTGGGTCGAGATGGTGATTCCAGATGTCTTTTTGCCTGTTTAAACTGTTAACTTAATTCTGTTCCAGCAATGATTCAACAACCTCGAGTCCCGTCTTCTGGGTTGATGCCAGCCAGTGATGTTCTCATACGTGCAAAGGAGGTAAGTTTCAGGTCTTTCAGTGGCTCTCCTTTTCAATTTGGAAGGATGATTCTCGATTATTGCAGTATAAACTCCTTGATGAAGTATACTTGTAGCGTCTGCCCTTCTTTTATGGATTGGTTCCCCCTCTGGTTGGACGCATCCTCTATATAATAGAATTGTGTAATATAATATCACTGAGTTACTTGGTATTTCCACACCATATTCTCTATACTAAAATAAAAAGGAGAATTTATTGTGAAAATATCCTCTACCTGTACACAAACTTATATGTCGGTTCAAAGCAAGCAGTAATAAAAAATTTGATAATGGAAATTATAAAAACACGTGCACATAAAGTACAAGAAAAACCCCATTTGAAAAACAAACACTTGTGTATGCACCCACTGTACACCCTCAGCGAGAGAAGTTGCGGAAAGAATTCTGTGAAATCTGGAATTGAAGTTGAGATGAATATATTACTGCACTTAACCTCTATTTTTGTAGATCTTGACTGAATTCTTTTACAGGTTATAATAAATAGAGACATTCTGGTTGAACTTCTGTCCAAGCACACCGGAAATGTGAGTTTGACAAATCGTAAGTGTTTTCATCGTGTTTTCAATATGTAGCAGAATGAACACACACAATGTTTTGTTTCATATTTGACCAGTCCTTGGAGACTGTAGCTGACGTGATGAGGAGACCATTTTATATGGATTCAACGAGAGCTAAAGAATTTGGAGTCATTGATAAGGTAGGTTATTGCCAATTCTGCTACAGAGTATTTATGTCCCTTCTTTCTTGCCCTGGCCTATCAGACTGATATCATATTTTGGGAATCAGATACTTTGGCGTGGTCAGGAAAAGATAATGGCAGATGCCGCCCCGCCGGAGGATTGGGACAAGAATGCTGGGATTAAAGCCCTTGATGCAATTTAAGTTTCTTCTAGAAGGATTATGCGGTAAATTTTTTCCATTGTAATGCGAAATTGATTTGTTAATTAAGAGGAAAAATTAGATTGGTAAATTTCTTACATTCACTCCCTTCTAAAATAGCCCCAGTTACTAAACAGCAGGACAAAGTTTTATTTTTGAGTGTAGAAGAAGGTTCTTGTAAGAAAAATTTGAGTGAAGCCACTGTTCTTTTTTACTCACTACATTGGTCCTTAAGAAATTTCCTCAATTATTAGAAAAATGAAGAATGCAACAAATGGAAGGATATTACGATCTAATAGCTTAAATGAATTCAAGCAACATCAATGCTCTAACTATTGAAGTTGTGGCGAACTTTTAGCTGTAAATTTTCTGGTGATGCGCTTTACGTGTTAAGTAGCAGATAATAAAAATTTG